AAAAAACCAACTCCGGTAACCCCAACTGCTGCCTCAGGTGACAACGTCAACGATCCGCAGCCAAGCACCAGTGGCCAATAAAATGTTTCGTACATGTTTATATATTTTGATATGTTTTGCAATTGGGAAAATGTTTCCTATGGTATTTTTTAGACCTGTATTTTGTATTTTTGTATGCACTTGTATTTTGTAATTTTGTATGTTTTGCAAATATTAAACCAGTTGTACTGGTAATGCAGTGTTTTACTTAAACCTGACGAATGTAAAAATAAGAAACAAAATGGTGTAGAGATGATACAAATGGCATAAAATGAACAAAGACAATTATGATATGTAATAATGAAAGAAAATTATGATAAAATATGACAAAGATTTTTATAACATCATTTCACAGTACTTTACATATAGCCTACTCAACTTACGACCAAATCGTGTTACGACCGGTCTGCTGGAACCAATTGTGGTCGTAAGTCAAGCACTAGCTGTAATCCAAAGCCCAAGAGGCTCATGCTGAAGGGGAGGGGGAAAGGTGTGGGGAACAGAGGGTGTGAGTCATTATACGAAGAGGCTAGACCTTTGCATCCAGGAACCTTCTCCTACCTGCCCCAATCCCCAAAGAAGTGTATTACCCAAAGACATTGAACCAGGAAGGTTAGAACATACACCAGGCACAATGATAAAGAGGGTGTGTGTGTAATTCATGGCTGAAAATGAGGCATGAGGTGGTGGGAACTGAGGAAGAATCAGTCTACTTACTGTACCAGGGAACCCCACCGTCCCCTTCCTCCATCCTGCTTCCTGAAGAGCTTATCCAGGTTTATCCCAGGCAGGGCTGGTGGAATTATCCTCAGGAGATGCTCAATGAGCACACATACTGATATTTGAAGGTTTCCTTTGACAAAAGACCAGTTGCTGCTTCATCATTTTAAAGAAAAATCAATAATTGACAGGCACCATCCATAGGCACAAAAATTCTAACCCAATTTTAAGTGCCTTAGATCAGCCAAGGTTCAGTAAACATTCAAGGAAAGCCTGCAAAGTGAAAGTCAGATCCAAAACAAAGACAAGGAGAAAAAGCCTTCTATAAACATGTAGATGGCCAGGCTGGGTGGCTCACACTTTAATTCCAGCACTTTGGGAGGCTGAGGCGGGTGGATTACTTAAGGCCAGAAGTTCAAGACCAGCCTGGCCAACATGGCAAAACCCTGTCTCTACTAAAACTACAAAAATTAGCTGGGCGTGGTGGTGCATGCCTGTAATCCTAGCTACTTGGGAGGCTGCGGTGAGAGAATTGCTTGAACACGGGAGGCAGAGGTTGCAATGATCCGAGATCACACCACTGCACATGACAGAGTAAGACTGTCTTAAAAAAGCAGACATTCTAGGGAGAAGAAAATGTTTTAAAATGTATCCCCAAGAGAATAAGAATCTCTTCCAAAATACAAGATGAGATGCTCTGAAAAAAGGCCAAGAGCACCCTAAAATTAACCATATGGATAATTGGAAGTTTTATTTCTGTAGTTAAAGATTAATTTGAAGAGATCTCACAGAAAGTAAAGCAAAACGTAACTAGATGGAAAATATTAAAGGTAGGAAAGTAGAGAATCTTCCTAAAGCCCTAGTAAACAATAGGAAATATTTTTTAAAAGAATTATTCTTTTAAAACTTAGGAAATGTATCAGACTGATAGACAATGGTCTCCAGATGAAATGGAGAAAGCAAAATGCCCAGAATTAATTTTAAAAGGATCTGCACCAAGATACATGACAGAAGTTACGAAACTTTAAAATCATCTTAAGAGAAGATTCTAAAATGTCCCAGGGAGAAAAAGAAAAAATCAAATCATACACAAAGTATGTTAGAAGACAGCGACAGCAGAGCAATGTCTTCAAAATTTCAAGGATAATCGTTTCCATGTTTACTTCTGTGTGTAGTAAAATTATCAAGGAAATCTAGGCATGCCTTAAAGTTTTGGTGGTGGTGGTGTTCTTTCAGAAGACGAGAGAAGGTCTTGCCATGTTTCCCAGGCTGGTCTTGACCTCCTGGCCGCAAGCAATCCTCCCACCTCAGCCTTCCAAGGAGCTGGAATTACAAGCATGTACCATTGCACCCAGCAAAGATATTTTTATATGTTAAAGATTCAAAAGACATATAGCTCCTTGTGCCTTTCTGAGAAAGCTACTAGTGTATGTGTTCTACCAAAACAATGCAATAAACCATGAAATGAGATGACACAGAATCCAGAAAAGAGTGTGTCCAAGAAAGGAGAAGTAAAGGAGAGCCCCTGAATGATGGTTGTGAACTAGGCCTAGAGTACAACACACTCAGACTGAAGCTGAAGGATGGGGATGCTACAGGTGAAGTGCCAGGAAAAAGGATGATGGGGGAACAGAGTGGCTATATATGGCTTAGAGATAGTACAAATTCATTTAAAGACAACTGATAGGTCGGTGGAGGTTATTAGCAATGGATACATGGATAAATTGCAAATTTTAAAAAATGAATTATCTCAACAACAATAAAAACACAGTTTTGGAAGAAAATCCTCATAGGGCATTATCTGGCTTAGCAGTGAACAAGTCCATACAGTCATTACATACACACCAACAGAGTTACTGCCCTGCGAACCACACTGGGTGAGTGCAGTAGGGATTGACAGTTGATCCCTCTGTCCGCAGCAGGAAGTACGGGACACCTGAACATTTCAACTACTTTTTTTTTTTTTTTTTTTTGAGATGGAGTCTCACACTGTCACCTGGGCTGGAGTACTTTAGATCCATCTTGGCTCACTGCAACCTCCGCCGCCCGAGTTCAAGCAATTCTCCTGCTTCAGCCTCCCAAGTAGCTGGGATTACAGGTGCCCACCACCATGTCCAGTTAATTTTTTGTATTTTTAGTAGAGACAGCGTTTCACTATGTTGGCCAGGCTAGTCTTAAACTCCTGACCTCATGATCCACCTACCTCAGCCTCCCAAAGTGCTGGGATTACAGGCGTGAGCCACCGCACCCAGCCTCAACTACTTCTTAAACAGCCTCTCAGCTCATGATCCTGTTTTCTGATCTTCTATCAAGTCCACAAGGTCTCAAAGCATTTATCACCCCACATATTTTGGGAAGAGCTCTGCCAGAATGAAGGGGAGAAAACAGAAATCAGAAGACAAGTTCTAGGAAACAGATTTCAGGAAAGAGAGGCAAAAGGGGTGATCAGGGTCATGGAGAGATCCCTGAAGCTGTCCAGGACACAGATCCTACATCAGGTAATAGAGGCAAGGGGAACCCCCCCCCACCCACAAGAATACAGCAGGGGGAGACCCCAGGACACTGACCAGGCCAGAGAGAAACCTGGTCCGTCTGAAGACTTCTAGACAAGGGTCTCTCAAGGATGAAACAGGAAATCTAATGATCTGATTAATTTGAACAGACTAAAAGGAGATTTAGACAACAGGTAAGAGTTTCAGAATTAATTAGATAAGCACGTGAAAAATGAAGCAAAGGAAAAGCAAGATAACTATTAACTCCAGGGAAAACAAAATTGGACAACAAAGGAGAATTAGTTATGGTATATACATGAGCCACAAAGCTCATGATGCAGTTCAGCTGTCAGTAGTCATAGCAGAGTCTGTTACAACTGCATGGCACCAAATCTAATCTATTGGAAGGCTCTTTATCCTTGTATGGCTGTGCATCATCACTACTGATTATTATTAGAAACATAAAATTAGATCCCAGTATTACACAAGTCAATGTAGATTTTTTTAAAACAACCATAAAGTTCTAGAAGAAAATATAAGATTTTTAAAAACTGATTGCAGCCAGGCGTGGTGGCTCATGCCTATAATCCCAGCACTTTGGGAGGTTGAGGTGGGTGGATTGCTGAGGTCAGGAGTTTGAGACCAGCCCGGCCGACATGGTGAAACCCTGTCTCCACTAAAAATACAAAAATCAGTCAGATGTGGTGGTGGATACCTGTAATCCAAGCTACTCAGGAGGCTAAGGCAGGAGAATACCTTGAACCTGGGAGGGGCCTGCAGTGAGCCGTGATCACGCCACTGCACTCTAGCCCGGGTGACAGAATGAGACTCTGTTTCAGAAAAAAAAAAGAAAAAAGTAAAACTGTTCTCAAATTGCAGATCTCTCTAAGCATGACCTAAATGCTAGAGGCCCTGGTTGGGGTGGGGGGGGGCGGGGAACAACTAAAAAAGTGCAAAGCCAAAGCAAACTACACTGTAGGAAAAAGGACTTGAATTACATATTATAAAGGGCTGATTTTCTCCCTATACAAAGGAACTCCTATAAATCAAGAATTCACCACATATAAAGGAAGTCCTATAAATCAATAAGAAAAGTATTTGCAACCTCATGGAAAACTGGGTAAGGGACAGGAACAGGAGAAGGATGGTCAAGAAAACACAAATGGCTTGTCGACTTGTCAACACGTGAAAATCTATTCAACCGCAATGGGTAGTAAGAAAAGTGCAAAATGACAATTGAGAAAAACTGGGCCGGGTGTGGTGCACGTGACTGTAATCCCAGAACTTTGGGAGGCTGAGGCAGGCGGACTGCCTGAGCCCAGGAGTTCATCATAAGCCTGGGCAACATGCCAAAACCAATTCCTACTAAAAATACAAAAAAAATAGCCAGGCAGCTTCTCAGGAAGCTGAGGTGGGAGAATCCCTTGAACCTAAGGAGGTCAAGGCTGCAGTGAACCATGATCACAACACTGCACTCCCGGCAGAGTGACAAAGCGAGACCCTGCCTCAAAAAAAAAAAAA